GGATATTTTAGGGCAGCACAGCACTTGGACTGTGGCATGGGTATTACTGGCTACTTTTAGCCAAATTTACAATGATAGAAAGAAGAGCAGAGCAGAAAGATTCGGGGAAAAAAAACACAGTCTGGGGAGAAAAGGAGTTTTACAGGTATGGCCAAAGGAGGGTTCGTCATCACTGCCAAGAACAACAGGCCAAGTGCTTTGCACCAGGACAAGAGGAAAGATGCCTCAAGTGCATCTCAGGAGGAGGCCAGACCCCACCACCACAGCTCAGAGACGTAAAAATGCAGAATTATTTCCAGGACAGAGTCTTTTGAGAAGAGAGCCCAGAGTTTGCTGCCCCTACAAAAACATGTGCCTAGGAATCTGGCTTCCCCATGTACTGCCATACAGGCACTTGAGGACAGCTGCACTGTCCTGAGTGGGCCCAGGTCCAGCCCACCTGGCTGAAGACCTTGGCACCATCCACTTGATGCTTGGTTTGCAGATGTGCAGAATGCCAGAGTTCTGAGGCCATGGAAGCTTCCACAAGATCTCACAGGGAAACCTAGGAGCCAGAGAGTGTACAGCAGGGTCAGCCTGCAATCAGTCCCTGCGAGGGTGGTATGTGGAGCTGTGAGAGTGTAATTGGACCTCAGGAAGTTGGAGATGCCAGGAATGCAAACCCAATGAGGCAAGCACAGGCAGTGAGCAAAGCCAGCCAGAGGGGCTTAGATGTCATGCCTGCCCCTCTCCCCAAACTCCTCTCAGTCCTCCTCACTTCCAATCAGGCCCATGTCCAGGTCCTAGAAAGGGAGGACCCTGAATTGAGATAGCCAGGCCAAAGGGCAGAGCCATACCTGGGCCTCAGTTTCTGTCATTTCATCTCCTGCAGAAACATAAGGAATGCAGTATTTGCGGGTCACACCTGCCTACATGAAGACTCTACTTTGTTCAGATATTCCCATGAACCAGTTTGGCAGTTGACAGCCCTTTTACTAAGTGGGGAGGGTCTTTTTTTTTTTTTTTTAACTATTGAGAATGGGTGTGCACGTTCAAATTTATTCTCACTGTGTCATCAAGACATGCCAGGGTCAGGAGTGGGGGCTCATACCTATAATTCCAGTGGCTTGGGAGCCTGAGGCATGGGGATAGCAAGTTTGAGGCCAGCCTCAAAAATTTAGTGAGACCCTGTCTTCAAATTAAAAAAAAAAATAAAAAGCTGGAGATGTAGCTGAGGTGGTCAAGAACCCCTGGGTTCAATCCCTGGTATCAATAACAAACAGAAACATGCCAGACTGGGACTTCCAAAAGTCCAAAGCACCAACGTCTCAAGACTTCTCTAGCTGGAACTTCTAACTTAAACAGAAGTCCACATGTCCTCAGGCCTTTCCCATGTGAAAGTCCTCTTCATCTCTGCTACAGGTGGAAAAATCTGAATAAAGTCCATCATGCTGACTGGTATTCCAACCCTTTCTGCAAAATGTGTAACTCATGCCTCTTCTGAGCTACATCATGTGGTGTTGCAGAAGTTAAACCAAAGAATGTGAGAGGCCCATGACCTGGGTGTCCTTAGCATAGGAGGGAAAGAATCAGGCAGGAGGCCCCTCATGGACACAGGCAAAGCTGCTACTTGTGAGGCTGTGCTCCTGCACCTTCTCAGGGAGACGGTCCTATGAGCAATCTTGGCTTCCTAAACGCTTTGGTCATTCCTAGCAGACTGATAGCTACTGACTGGTAAAGGCTAAACATGAAGCAATATTCATTATAGCACATGAGACTATCTTTTATGAAAGGTGATTGTTTTCTTTCTAATGAGATATTAGGTTGTTAAATGAGTGATATAATAGTTTAAAACCTGTTAATGCATACCTTTGTCAGAAGTCTTTGTAGAGAGTTAATATTCATCTAAAATTAAATTAATACCTCTTTTGACAAGACAAGAATGATTGTGGCTGGGGTGCTGCAGCTTTCCTTACACTGCTTAAAACTGAGCAAATGATGCTCCTCTCATGAGCCGAACATCTTGAATAAAGGTTGAGGTGCTCACAACAACTAACTCAATTCCAGCAAACAATTTTTTCCAATAATTTCAAAACAGTTTGTTGCTAATTTTCCAGCTTTTTGGATCCTTGACAGTAGACATTTGTTCAGTTACTAAAGGAGAGAATTACATTATTTAATATAAATGCATTACCTCTTCGTGCCTGAAAGTAGATGGATAAGCTCATAATGATGACTTCAAGTGAATTACCTTGAGATTTTTGTAGGAAACACTGCATTTTTTCACATATTTTTGTAACAATCAGAAGATCGTGTAGTTTTACACTAGGGACAACTCCAGCCTCCCTGTTTTACACAAAAAGAAGTGGAGAGACCGAGTGACTTATGACACAACTTCCTGTCTCCGTGAGCTGGTACATACCTGCCTCCTCAGGCCCCAAAGCAGGGAGTTCAGCAGATCAGACTGCGCTTACATTGAGCACAAGACACATATTTCTGGAAGCTGGAGAACTTCACAGAGTTCATCCCAGCAACACTGCAAATTGAAAAGTCTAGGAAAGACTAGTAAACCAGTATAGTCTTCTATTTAAACTCTATAAATCTGTGTATATAACATGAGCGGCACTGGGAGTGACTTTAACACAGAACTTGACACAAGTGAATGAAAGAACACCTGGAGTTTCTAATCCTTAACTGTCAGGTTTCATGGATTCAAATTCCAACCAGGTGCTGGCTCTGTGCTGTGTAGGTATCTAGTTAGTGAGTGAGGCTGAAGCAGCATCCACACAGTGGGCAGCAGGAAGCAGCCATTCAAGGAATCCACTTGTCCCATTAAAAAGTGCAAAAGAAGAAGGGTAATGCTTGTCGAAACTTCCTTGTTAGTAGTATTTGTGGGAAGTAGATCCCACTGATGTCCTTTATAAAAGTGTAGTTTTTCATTCTGTGAAATGCTTATATTTAAAAATACTATTTAGGTAAGTCTAAAATAACACATGCTTAGGCTGGAGCAACAGCAGCAACGACAGACAGAAGCTTCATCAGCTCCCACTACCTTGCTCACCAGCTGTGTGCACACCCTGAAGCCGCCAGGCTACCCTGACCGCTCACCCAGCCAGTACCAGAAAGCATTGGGCGGCAGGCGTCGCTCTTGCTAGAGGAACTTAGAGAACTTAAATTTCTCCCTATTCATGAAAAGGGGAAAGGGAGAAAGGAAAAATATCTCATTCCATGTGCCTAATATATTTGACAGGAAACTTTACTTTTTCCTGAGTGTATTTCAGCAGAAACGTTAGCATGTTAGTAATTTTGCTTGCAAACCCAAAACAAAACAAGAGCCTTCCTGGGAAGTCAAACCATTTGTTTTTAGAGAGCAGATATAGACATGCCCAAGGGTCCCGCTTTAGTATCTCCCACCTCTACCCCACCTCTACCCTGACACACATTTTTTTCTCCCCCAACAGACCTAGGGAAGAGAGCACGCTGACGATAGACAGAACTGAGCCACTCTCCGCGATCGCTGGGGGACAGTGACTTTAGCCTCCGGTGGAGGCGCGGGTCTGCGCGCGCGAGCGCACCTGCACCTTGGCGGCATCTTGGTGCCACCGCCCGTGCAGCTGCCGGTTAATGGTGGAGGCTTTTAATCCTCGCCCACTCTCTCCCTTTCTGGGACTGTGTTAGAACACCTTTCCCAATCAGATCAGATCGCCGACTTGGAAGACATCCAGCTCTTGCCCAGAAAGCACCAATAAAATGGGAAAGTGCGCAATTGATTGATAATACATTTTACAAGAAAAAAAAAAAAATCAAGTGAACTATGGAACCGAACCCTCACAAAAGTGCTTGGCTACATCCAAAGAATCAAACTTTCTTAAAGACGAAGCCCGGGAGGAAGTGCCCATGAGCAAACGACCCGCGGCCGAGGGTCCAGACTCGGGGCGCAGGTGGAGGGCCCCGCTCCGAGGCCCGGGAAGGGCGCGGGGTCCTGCCGTTCAGGGCGGCCCACGGGGACCCGAGCGTCGCCTTCTTCAGCCCGGGGACCCGACTCGGGCGGTGAAGACAGCTCGGGTCCCGAAAGCGGCTCTGGCCTCGCCAGCAGATTCCTTCAAACCGGACAGACGCTAATTGACTTATTACACAGCGAGGCCGTCAGCATCTCCTTTTTCAATAGCCCAGATCTGCATTTAGACAAAAACAGATCCGAGTTCCTGGTAAAGGCGTTTCTTCCCATCCTGTCACGAGTGACAGGAACGGGGAAACAGACTGCGGGAGAGGGGACAAGGAGGCGGGAGCGAGGGAGCGCAGAGGAGAGGACGCGCGCGGAGACGGGGAGGAAGGGGCGGGGAGACGCGGGGGAGGGGCGGGGGCGGGGGCGAGCGGGCCGGGGGGGTCTGACGAATACCCGCGCCGGCTGGGAGCGCTCGCGGCCCTGATGAAAGCCGCGCTCCGGCCCTGGGGACCCGCCTGACGTCGGCGGCCGGGGGGATAAGAAGCGCGCCAGCCGAAGGGCTCGGCGCGGGCACCCGGCGACCGCGATCCCCTCGGAGCGGCGGTTCGCGTCCCCTGCGCTCGGGCGCCGCGGGCCATGGAGTAGCGTCGCGGCCGGGCGGACGACGCGGGTGGACGCGGGACGGACGCCCACGACGCGGGCGGACGCTGGGCGCAGGGCACACAGCCGGGCGCAGGTGGTGGCGGGCGACGCGGGCAGGTGCGGGCCGGGCCTCGCGTGGCTGAGGGCGCCCGGGCGCGGTCCCTGTGGCGTGGGACGCCGGCGGACCCGAGGCCGGGCTGCCGCTGCGGGCGGCGGCTTCCTCGCGGAGGTGGCGAGGCGCCCGGAGGCTGAAGAAAGTTGTGTGGACGCCGGGCCCTGGCGGACACCGCGTGCGGGGAAAGTTGAGGGCGCGCGGCCCCGAGGCGCCGGTGTCACCGCGCTCGCCCCCGGCACCGGTCCCGGTGATCTACAGAGCCCACCTCCCACGCTCTCCCTCGGTCCTCGCGGCCCCACAGCCCTGCGACCCGGGACGATGCGCGCGCCCGGGCGGCCCCTGCTCCTGGGGCTGCTGCTGGTGCTGGGCGCAGCAGGGCCCGGCCGGGGACGCGTGCAGCCCCAGGGACCCACGGACCGGCAGACGTTGCTGCGGCTCCTGGTGGAGCTGGTCCAGGAGCTGAAGAAATACCACTCTGGGGAGTCCAAGAGGCTGCAGGTCCTCAGCGAACCGGACTTTGCCCTGGGCCGCAGGGAGGCCTCAGACTATGGGACAGACTCAGAGGAGCAGAGAGTGGGTAAGTGTCCCGCCAGTGTGGACCCTAGGGAGCAGAGAGAGGAGAGGGTCCTGGCTGTGTGGATCTGAGGGACAGAGTGAGTGCTCTGGGCAGGCAGTGTGCACAGAGAGGAGCAGTGTGAACTGGGGTCTGCTCCCAACTGTCTAGCTTCCATGTCTGACACACTCGATTCATATTTACTTGGAAATGGAAATGAGAAGCACATTTTAAAAGATAAATCAAGTTGATTGTTTTTTAAAACCAAGGGGTATTTTTTTTTTTTTTTAAAGGAAATGGGAATTCTGTGCCTGAGGCTTGCAGATAATTGCCCCTAGTTTGCTTATAAGATGTGGAGCTGTTGCCTAGGTCAGGAATGTGCACCGAACTGGCGTCTGTTATTTTGGAAGTGGAAGTATTCTAAGCACAGCATTTCAGCTGAGAAGAAATGGTCCAGAGCTTTCCCCTATGCATTGGCCTTCTCAGAGCAGCTGCCCCACAGGGAATTTCCCAGGAAAGCATGCAAGCTTTTAATGCTTTCATGACACAATTAGGTCAAATATGATAAGGTCAGTTTATATGGATTGACTCAGGTGAGGAGTAAATGAAGACTGACACTAGTTTCCCCCTTGCACGAAGAAGGCTCCAGTGCATCTGTCCCTGTGCAAGGAGCAAAGCATGCTTCCGAAGTGCAGCATCACATACATCGCAGCAAAGTTCCTAACCCACATCAGGGGACAGAGAGTGACCAGAGGACTGTTAGAAAGCAAAGGCTGGCATCAAAGAATGGCAGGGCAACAGTGCTGGAAGCAGGTGCCAGTGCAGAGCAGGGGTGTGGAGCTGGCTTGGGAGCCTTCTCCTGGGAAGTCTTAGCTGTCTTACAGGCCAGGCCATTGTGCCCTTCCATTCACACCTTCCTGGCAGGTGGTTTAGGCATTTAACCCTTTTTTCTAAATATATGTCCAGAAAAATGTAATGTTCTATCACTCAGCTTTTGTTTGAAGGGTCAAGTTTTCTTTCTAGCACTTTGAATGTCATGGGATTTGATTTAAAATGAAGTGTCTAAAAGTGATTTGTTCCTAGCAGCTAACCATTTAAGAAACAAGAAGTCTTCTTCATCCTGCAGCTCTGTGGCCCCTGTTTCTATCCTAGTCATAGAGAGTAGACAGATATCACTGGAACTTTATGAGTAGGTAACACTATTTGAAGAAAAACATGTCCCTGATGTAGTCTTCATTCCATTGTATGTGAGGATCCAGGGGGCTCCCATGCATGATGCTGTGGCTAATTCACATTCGTGGGTTTCTCGACTTTAACTGGGGATCACATTAAACATGGTTTCTTCAGCCAGTGTAACATTTTCTCCCCCTACAGAAATTGTCCCTCGAGACCTGAGGATGAAGGACAAGTTTCTGAAGCATCTCACAGGTGAGCCCTCCCCCCACCCCCCGCCCGATGCCTTCCCTGCTCCTCTGTTCTCTGTGTCTTCATGGCCTTCTTCTTCCTGTTCCAGGTCCTCTTTATTTCAGTCCTAAGTGCAGTAAGCACTTCCACAGACTTTACCACAACACCCGAGACTGCACCATCCCGGCATGTAAGTGAGCGGCCTGCCTTCTGAAATGCACTGGGGCCGAGTCTTCACTAGCTAAGAGTTGGGCCACCATCCCCAGAGATCGGAAGAGATAGCTAACCTCTGCATCAGGCAGTGCCACACTGAACAAAATTTACGTAGTCTCTGGAATTAATAATTCACTGGAATTAGTCCATGCTTGGAGTAGGCTGAATGCTTTGATTCACTTTCTCATTTTGTTTATGAATTCTGGTGTGGTGTGTATATTTGTTCTGCTTAAATGTGACAATCAGACAGGTGAAGCATGAGTCGTTGAAGTACCAGCTGCCTGTGCAGAGGTCTGGGGTTTACATTTAAGTTGGCCTGGAACCTTCAGGTCACATTCTTGATCTTGTCCAGTGCTGTGACCTTTTTTTACATTAGTGATAACCTCATCACCCAAGAATCTTTCAGTTGTTTCAGAATTCTGCACTTCAGACTGCCTTATTTTCTAGCAGAGAAATGTCATTTGCTCTCATATGTCCAGTTCTCAGTCATGGCTGTCCCCTAGGGCTTCTTTCCTTTCTCCTTGGCATGCTTCCAGCTGTTTGGCCATAACAAAACATTTTATTTCCCCAAAAGTGGCTCTTTGTGCTCTTCATAAAGCTATTTTTTAATTGGGACAACTTCCACTTCATTCAAGGCTGACAGGAGAAAAACCATGAAGACTGCTTTCAGAGACCACCAAGGCCAGCAGCCTGCCAGAGACTAGGCATCTATCCTGCCTTCCAAACAGAGCCAGGTCACAAGAGGTTGTTTTCCTTGTGGGGCAGCATAGCTGCCCTGGTGGTAATGTGCATTGTTTAAGAGCTGTGTCATACACCAAGAACTTTGCTAGGGCCATTCATATCACACCTATGGGTCTCAGCCAGTCTGGTAGCTTGTCTAGCATCTTTCACTGTAAGTAAAGTTCCTAGGTTCACAGGGAGCTTTTCTTGAGCACCACACAGCTCCATCTCAGCTCATGGCACATTGACTGGAGCACCTTTATTCCCACTCCAGCCCTGCTTTCTTTTTGTTTCAAAATCACTCAGATGCTTCCTGGGGCCAAAGAAGCTTTTTATTGTTTAATGTGCATATATTTTAAGTTCAGTATTATCTTATAAGAGTAGGACCATGAATTTTACATGTGGAAGTGACCCTAAAGAAACTGCTAATCCTTTCATTTACAGATGGAGACAATTTTAAATTGCTCATTTTCAGTCAATAGGTGTCAGCAAGGCAGGATTCAGGTATCGTGTGTCACTCTCTGCAGTGTCTTTTCCAGGATGCCATGTTATGCCAATGTTGGCCACCTCCATTTGGTTGCAAAATACCAAAACTCCTAGTCACAGTTCACCCTGAGTCCCCAAAGGTGGAAGGCAACATGTGTGTGCACTTAGATGTGTGGCTGCCTTCTCCTCTTCTCAGCCTACAAAGAGCTGGAGAGCTAAGTTGACCACTTCTAGGTTGCTTTAGGCTGCATAAAAGCATATCCCTGGAATCCTGACATGCTGGAAGTGAAAGGGGTCTCAGAACCTTCTTACTCTGTGGTCCGTGGGAGCCTGCTAGAATGCAGAACAAAATCCCTCCCAGACCTAAGGAATGGAATCGACATTTAACTAGATCCCTAGATGAGCTCTGTGCATTAGGGTCTGAGGGGCAAGATTAGACACATCTGGATTAAACATAATGGGCACCAACTGGGATCTCTAGACAAATTACAAATGGAAGTATTTACAGTTTGCCGATTAGACCATCCTTGAGGTGACCAGCTGCCAGTGGGTAGATAGTTTCCCTGCTTGGAACACAAAGAGTATGAACTCTGAATATTTAGAAGGTATACTCTTATTTAGAGGTGGAGTAAGTTCCTTGTCTGACATACCGTGCATACCTATTATTGTCAATTTACCCATTCATTCAGATTCTTAGTTCAGTATGAGCACTTCCCTTTTTAAGTTGGGTTTTGTTGCTTCTGAGAAAGAAGTGTTAGTAATTTATGAACAACTGTAGCTTTCCACAGAATTTATCCTGAGGAAATTCCCTTATGGCTGTGGTCACAGAACCTTTCCATGGATTCTCTGAGGTAGCACCTGGTGGAATAGAGGAATGGGGAACACCAGTCTGCACTCAGAAACTAATTTAATTCAATCTCCAGCACCCCTCCTCCTCAAAAAAAAAAAAAAAAAAGGAAAATTAGCTTATTGGGTTTTTTTGCTGTCCAATCCGGGTCTGTGTTCCGCTAATGTGACCCACTTTCTTTAGGACATTAACACACAACTTTTTGCAGCATGGTCAGCTCAGTTTACACATGACCTAAAAGTTTAGTCACGCAAGGGCATACTAAGATTCTGTGTTCTTGTAAGCAACACTACAGGCATTTCCATGAGCTCTGACATCTGCTTGTGATGCTGACATCCTTGAAGAACCATAAATTATTAAGGCAACAACTTAGAAGCCATGAATGTGGATGACAGAGTCTGTGTCGTTTCCAGGAAATTCAAAATATTTTTTAAAATGGCTATATCAGTTTATATATTTCCAAAAATTGAAAAATCTACTGTTTCTTTTAGTGTTGTTCAGATAACTGAAAGGGTCTGTGGTTTATTTTTGCTGTAGACTATAAAAGATGTGCCAGGCTTCTCACTCGGCTGGCCGTCAGCCCAATGTGCATGGAAGGATAAGGTAAGCTCCCCACAGCTGTGTTGGCCACTCCCTGAGGGTCAGAATCTGGTTTGGGATATGAGGAGCTCAGAGTTAGAACACTCATCCTTTGGCGGAGGAGTTAGCCTTCCTGAGAGAAGTTAACACTCGGAATAGCTCAGAAGGCTACCATGAGGAGCAGGTGCCCCCTACTGGCGGTCCAAGCAGCCCTCAGCCGTCCAGCCCGAACCTAAACAGCAAGGAGCAGGCTGGTGGCTGACTTTGTGTAGAGGTGTGCCTGAACTAGGTAGGGCTCACTAAGAACCATGCCCATTTCCTTTCAGGCTTTCATTCACTCACTGCCACTGAAAAGTGAGTACCAGTGCTACTCAGTTTACAGTGGGCTACGTCCCAGCAAATCCATCATCAGTCAAACATGCAGTACGCGTAACCTAGACAGTGTGCTGGCTGGAAGATGTGGCTAGAGGCTGCTGCTGCCTCACAAGGAAATTGTAGGACACATCAGCCCAGGAAAAAATCAGAAATCAAAATCTGAAGTACCATCTGTACCTCGTTGTTACACCAGGGTAAAGTTAAGACATCGTGAGTCAAACCATCCCAAGTAGGGGCCTGTCCATATGTGACTAGGTGTCCATGTGAATTTTATGCTGTATCTGATAAAGGTTGGGAATCTTTTTGTACCAAGAGGCTTCAATAGAATAGTCATCCTCTTTAACTGTTCTCATCAATGGTTTTCATAAGCTGTAGTGGCAGACACGTAAATGAATTCTCAAGAGTTTAATTTTACATTGGCCTCTCAAGGTGTGCTGTGTCACAAATAGTATCAGCTATTGTCCAGGCAGCCAGCAATGGCTAGGAGGTACAGCTTTACTTTCCTGACAGATGCCACAGGACCACCACTAATCCTGCACCAGCAGCAGGTGACTGTAGGTAGTAAGTAGCATGGTGCACCAGCTCGTCTCAGCAGTGTATGAGTGTGGTGCTTTCACACGTGCCTAGTGTGCAAAAGCAGCAGAGGCCGATTTGGATTCTGCTGTGTGCTGAGCTAGTGCCCGGGTGCTTCATGGCACTATCCTCACCATCTTCACATCCTCTTATCCCCATCAGGAGCAAGTACCCCTGGAAAGAGGAGCAGCACTGAGGACAGGGTGTGTGGGTGCAGAGGGTTGCAGAGGTTCCCTGGCTCGCTATTTGGTAGAGGTGTTCTGAAGCCAGTCAAAGCCAGAAAGTGCAGCTTCCTACTTCCCTCCACATCCTAAGCCCATCAGCTGCCTTGTGGCAGGCAGGCAGAATACTCCTTCAATCCATGAACAGACATATGGCCTACTTTCTTTCAAGCCCAGAACAGACATATAGCCTACAAGTCTCCCATGGGAAGGTGTGGGGAAGACAGGGCCTTTAGCTTGCCATCACTGTTTAGATGTTAGCCACACACCCTTGGAAGTTGCCATTCACTTACAAGTGGGGAGGGCAAAGGTGCCCTTGCCCATCTACAGAGCTCCAGCTACATGTTGCTATCTTCTGGGCAGACCACGGGTGGACATTTGGCAGACCATCAGGGACACTGGGCTTGTGTGGCTCAGCTCTGGCCTGCAGAGGGATAAGATCAGGAAAGTAGCCAGGGGAAGGCATCCTGTGTGCTGAGCCACAGGGCCCTGGCATGGCCTGCTGTCCCTTGGTCACTTCCCCATGTGCACTGCCAATTGTAGGATGAAGGCATGTGTTTGCATGCTTCCAGGCCCAGGGCCACCTGCTTGCTGCAGTCACGGTTGTCACAAATGTAGCCAGGTTCATTTTGGCCAGGAAATGGGTAAATTTAAAACAGTGGGATTTCTACTGTGATGTTTTCATGACTTTTATGTTTTAAAGATTAAATTCTTCCAAAAGTCTTAAGTTGCAATAGCTAACTCCTAACTGGCTGGGTCACCAGTGTAGACACAGGTCAGTTTCTCTGTGCTTCACAGCTTGGCTTGGAACATCAGTGAGACCCTCAGAGGCAGAGCACATGTCCCATGACACCCATGGTGGGGATGATATGCTGGGAACCCTAAGCAAATGTTCTGCCAAGTGGCCATGCCATGTCCCTCTGCTGTGCCCAGTGGCCTCTTCTCCATCCCCACACACAGGCTGCAGGGTAAGATCCCACTCTCAGCACCTGCCCAGAGTCCAGGAGGGCAGGTCTCTATATCGGCCAGGAGCAAGGGTCAAACTTTGGGCCCCTTCTCTGGAGCTCACTGACCTCAGACCAAAGAGAAACTACATTCCCTACATCAAACATTCCTTTACAGGTAGTTGGATGAAATGCCTGAGTTCAGGGATATGTTCAAAAAAGTGTAGTTCTGAGCAGTATATGTAAATATCTGCTTTATCATACAGGCTACAGCCTCTTAAACTTGCAGATGTCCCCCACTTTTAAAAATGACGGGTAGGGGCTGAGGTTGTGGCTCAGCGTTAGAGCACTCATCTAGCACATGGGAGGCCCTGGGTTCGGTCCACAACACCACATAAAAATGCATAAAATAAAATAAAGGTATTGTGTCCAACTACAACTAAAAAATAAATGTTAAAAAAAAAGAATGAAGGGTAATCATTATTCTAGGAGTACCAGAAACCACAGCACTCCTTTTGCTCACCTGTGAATAGAGGTAGAAAGCTGGCCAGCCATCTGGCAGAGTAGCCACCAGCTGCAGACCCCATGGAATGAGCCTGAGGCTGTGACCACACACAGAGGGCCAGGCAGCTCAACATTCCTGTGCTAATGCTAATCAGAGTTCCCATGAGTGGATGGTTTTCTTCCTTTGGTGCAGTGGGCATATGGTAACTGCAAAACTGAATTATTTTCCAGAATAAATGAGACTGCTTTTTGGAATGCACAGCTATATGCACACACATAGAGACTCCATGTTTCTAAGTGTGCTCTTAAACAGCTAAAGCCACAGGTCCTCTAGCACTGATAACAAAGTGTGTGCAGCCACATGACACCAGATGCATTTGTTTTCAGCTGGAAGGAGCCACACAGCAGGACCCTGAGCAGTGCCTTGGAGACCAGCCGGACAGCTCTCCACACCCACTCCATGTGGACAGAGGTTTATTTTTACAGACAGACTCTTCCAAAATTCCTTTGCATTTTGTAAGCTGTTGACACTGTTTGCAGATATGTATTCAGTAAATCAGTGTATCTGACAGAGATCCTTGCCACTATATCTTAAAAAACAAGAGAACACTTCACATTTGATGTGCAGTGTTATGAGAGACTATTTCATTTTCCAGATTAGATGAAATAAAAAAAAAATTACTTTAGAAACATAGGGAGAATCTTAAACTATATTTTCATAGAGCATATAGTATGATTCAATATTTTGTATTACTTTTACAATTAAACTCCCAGAATATTATTTGGACCTGCATGAAAAATTAAAAAAAAAAAAAAAAGAGGTAAATAAAAAACTTCAGTCATGTTTTGAAGACAGTGGAGTATACATTTGTGAATATATCCAGGCCAGTTCCATTCTTATATGGTAAATGAAAAACAGCACTCCTGCTATTGTGCAATATGTAAATACTGTAAATAAATAATAAATGAACAAATGTTGTTATAATGAAGAGTTTTTGGAGTGGTCCTTTACTTCTCTTGGGTTCATCACTGGGCATTTGTGGCTTACACACCTGTCAAGAGATCCATACACTGGCAGAAGTCCATAAAACTTAAAAGGCATAAGTGAATGGAATTCAACAGCTAAGGATCCCTGTAAAGGGCAATTAGCATTTTCTAAAAGCAGAGGTTACTATGCATCAATGACATAATCTCCTGAGGTAGCTTGGTCTCTGCTAGTTAAGTATTCCAAATAAGTTGTATCCACTGTTTCCCAGGTAAAGGAATTTTAAGACTTGTGAACAGTTAGGGTTGGATATATCTTGAAAAGACATGGGATCTAATTAAAAAGTTACGTTAAACTCACAAAGCAGAGAGTCCCTGGCCACAATGTGAGCAGATGACACCTAGGGCAGCTGTAGGGACACAGCATCATTCTACAGTTTGAGAGTCTGCTTTTAAGATGCATATCAGAGAGAACTACAGCATTTTTTTTATTTACAGGGATGGAAAGGATTAAGAAATACTCCTGACAATGGGATTACAAAGCAATTAATGACAGGGAACAGCCCTGACTGCTTACTTAATCCTGCTTCCCTACTGTGGCTGATCATTTGACCTTTTCTTTCCAGTTCTTTAGCTTGGGGACACCATTATCATATCCCTAACCTAACCTCTGGAGTTTTCTGTATGACACAGTAATTCCGCCAGGACCCTCACTCAGGGTGTCCGTCCCCCAACTCTCCCTGTTCTTAGGTTGGTATTCCACTCAGCCTTTCAACAAGGACTGATTTTTTGACTAAAAGTCCTCTACAGGTTAGAGGTCACCAGCTTTGAATGCAGGACCAAGATAGGATAAAGCAAACTGCCACTCACCTGCTGAGTGGCAGGACAGCCCAACCACCACCTCCACAAGGAGAGTTGAGAGTGCCTCCGTCCCAGGGCCCCGATGTCTTCCATACCTAGATGCCAGTGTAAGTGGAACAGCTTATTATTTTCATCATTTTACTTCCTAGTACCAAGGGTAAATATGCACATACACACCACAGACCATCTGAAAGTGACAAGACAGACGGTTTCTCAATTGTTCCTCATTGGTAAATAAAAAGCAGGCGAGACATCAGATTTATCTGTTGCATTTTTATAACTCCCAAGTTTATTTTGAAAACAATCTTTTCTGACATATATCCATGTGAATTTGAGATTATAGTGAAATTACCTGTATTTGCCTATAGCTTTTAAATACTCATGAAACATTTATTAACATATCAATACTTAAGGACACCAACATAATTGACTGCTTAAATTATTTTTTCATACCTAAGCCAATTTACATTTGAGTTACCTGTGCATATAAAACAAACATACCCCTCAACCAACCATAGGATACATAGCATACAAGTGTCCTTTCCAGATATAATTACATTT